TATTGCACATTGCACATGATTTAAGAATTTACTTAATTACAGATGAATGAAATTTACAGGCTCAGATGTTCTTATTGTACAGTCTGACAGCAGCAGGAAGGAAAGACTTACGGAACCTCTCCTTCACACAGCGAGGGTGAATTACTGTAGTCTGTCACTGAAACTGCTCTCCAGAGCAGAGAGAGTGTCCTGCAGGGGGTGACAGTCATGGTCCAGCATAGATGTTAGTTTGCTCAGGACCCTCCTGTCTCCCACCTGCTGCACTGTGTCCAGGGAACAGCCCAGGACTGAGCTGGACTTCCTGATGACCTTGTCCAGCTTCTTCCTGTCCCTCTCTGTAATGCTGCTGTTCCAGCAGACCACACCGTACAAGATGGCTGATGCCACCACAGAGTCATAGAAGGTCTTCAGGAGTGGCCCCTGCACTCCAAAAGACCTAAGCCTCCTCAGTAGGTAGAGGCGACTCTGGCCCTTCTTGAAGAGGGCGTCTGTGTTATGAGTCCAGTCCAGTTTGTGGTTCAGATGAACACCCAGGTACTTGTAAGAGTCCACTCTCTCGATGTCCTTTCCCTGGATGTTCACTGGAGCTGGAGCGGCAGAGTGACGTCTGCGGAAATCCACCACCATCTCCTTGGTCTTCCCCGCGTTGATGAGGAGGTGGTTCCGCTGACACCAGTCCACAAAGTCCTGTATAACTTCTCTGTACTCTGTGTCATCGTCCTCGGAGCTGAGTCGGATGATGGCAGAGTCGTCAGAGAACTTCTGTAGAACACAACCGTCCGTGTTGTGTCTGAAGTCCGCAGTGTAGAGGGTGAAGAGGAACGGCGCGAGGACAGTTCCCTGGGGGGCCCCCACACTGCAGGTCAGGACCTCCGACACAAAGTCCCTGGTTCTCACAAACTGGGGTGGTCTGTCTGTGAGGTAGTCCAGAATCCACTGGGACAGGTCGTAGTCACACACTGGCTGTCTCCATCTTGTCCCTGAGAAGCCTCGGCTGGATGGTGTGAAGGCACTGGAGAAATCAAAGAAGAGGATCCTCACAGTGGAGCCGGGTTTCTCCAGGTGGGACAGGGAGCGATGGAAGAGGGAGATGATGGCGTCCTCGACTCCGATGCCCGGCCTGTAGGCGAACTGCAGCGGGTCCATCGCTGGGCTCAGAGTGGAGCGGAGATGTCCCAGGACCAGTCTCTCCAGTGTCTTCATGCAGTGGGATGTTAGAGCCACTGGCCTGAAGTCGCTGAGGTCTTTGGCCCGTGGTTTCTTGGACACCGGTACCACACGGGAGGTCTTCCAGAGCTGTGGTACCGTCCTCAGCTTGAGGCTCAGGTTCAAGACGCGCTCCATCACTCCACAGAGTTCGTCTGCACAGGAGCGAAGGAGCCTGGAGCTGATGTCATCTGGTCCTGGTGCCTTTCTGGTCTTTATCCTCCTCATCTCTGTCCTCACCTGAGCAGCGGTGACTGACAGGGGGGTGCAGGGGGGCTGGGTGGAGTGGGTGCTGTGTAGGGAGGACAGGGGCTCAGAGGTCAAGAGGGAGTCACACAGACGGTTTCAGGCTCAAAAGTGAGATTTTATCTGATTTGCACTAAAATGTCAAAAAAATGACCAGGACTTGTAGAGAGCACTATAAGAAACATATTTATACAGTTTATGAGTTAAAAAAAGTTGATTTTGTGTTTGTTTGGGGGCGACAGTAGCTCAGGCCTGAAGGTCGTGGGTTCAATTCCAACCTCTGCACCTTCTCCACCGACTCCCACTGATGACTGCTGTCGTTGTGTCCTTGGGCAAGACACTTAACCCCACTTTGCCCAAAAGCCCCCACTGAAAGATCAAGGCTATGCTCACACTCAGAGAGCAGCCGTCCTCCTGTGGACTCACCACCTGCAGAGGGTCAGTGAGGGGCTGGTGCTATGAGACTTGGGTGGCATCTCTGACTGCCACCCCCTGACCCAGAAATGAATTAACGGGTAAAAAATGGATGGATGGACGGATTTTGTGTTTGACTGTCCTTTAAGTATTTTGCATTAGTTGCAAATGTTACATTTATCAAAAGAATTGTTTATATTTTGCTCTGCAGTGTATCCTGGGTAAGTAAGTAAGTAAGTAATCTTTATTTATATACCGCCTTTCACAGACCAGAGTCACAAAGCGGTTTACAATTGTTATTTTGGACAATTGTCCTCTCACTCCACACAGAGATGGGAGCGAGGTCGCCAGTACAGGAGGTAGCGTCATTGCTTCGCTTTATGTATCAACTCTGCCACTCTTGTCATAGTCATGTGATAAGATGGTATTCAGAAGCTGCAATGATTAAATGTGTCCACTAAATGTCAGCGTAAGAGCTTAGTCCAGGCTCAGGGGCTTTGACACATTTCAAACAGTCTGGCAAGGAAAGCCTGAGTGTGTTAATATCATGGATCTATAAGTAGTTTCTGGATAGGGATGACTAGCTTTTTAGCTGTTCCACCTATGGGCACAGGGGGGGTACAGGGTAAAAAAGAAAAAAGTCTGCTGATCAGAGCAGTGTTAGAGCAGAGCCAGAGCAGGATTTTCAGAAAACCAAAAGATTTAAGAAGAAAAAAAGTTCAGGATGACCAGGGACACTAAAATCCCCACAAAATCCGACCTTTATGAAAGCTGTAGGTTCTCTTTCAGTTGAGATCGAACTGTTTTAGTTTACATTGAGTTCTATGGGGAAAATTTCTGGGTAGCCCACGTGAATTTAGTCTGGTTTAGTCTGCAGTACTGCGAGAATCCCCCGAGCACATAGGTCCTTCAGCTCCAAGCTAGTATTACCCTATCCCAGCCATTCCCAAACTCAGTAACACCGAGGCCCCCTTAAAAATCTGACGGGTCTGCGTGGCCCCCCAAAATAATAACCAAGAAGACAACATTAAGAATAGGCTCTTCTGGTTATTTTATTTTGAGGAAATAGCCTCTGCTACAAACATTGTAATACAAAAATGATTACAGTGGATTATTCAAGTCAAATAATGAACACAAATATTTTAATATTACAAACAAAACATTATAAATTTAACATTAAATAATTCTTTTTTTTTTTTTTTTTTTTTTATGACCTCCCGCGGACCCCCTGCAGTACCCTCGCGGCCCACCAGGGGGCCGCGGACCCCACTTTGGGAGACACTGCCCTATCCAGTTAATATAATAGATCCATGGTCTGTATTTATACTGAGACAAGAGAGTTCTGTACATAAATAAACATGAGACAATAGAGGTCTGTACATGTATGTATACTCAGACAATAGAGGTCTGTACATATATGTACTGAGACAAGAGAGGTCTGTTTGTATGTATGAAATGAACATTGGTGTTGAGTAAATTAATTGCTCTCTTCATCATTCCAACGCAACTTTTGACCTGATGAAATTTATGTGAGGTTTCCAGGATATTTTACCATCTATTACAACTCCCAAAAATGTATTTTGATTAACTTTTTCTATTTGTATATCATCAATGACAATCTGGACAGGGATATTACATCTGCGATTGCTAAAAAGCATAATCTCTTTTAGAGAAGCATAGTCTTTTTTTTTTAGTTTGTTCATTTCAACATTTACAATGGCCAAAAGCTGCTTCAGATCTTCACCTACACATAAAATATTTGTGTCATCAGCAAAAAGGATGAATTTCATTAAGTTTGATATTTTACATATTTCATTTATATACATTATGAATAATGTTGGTTCAAGTACTGACCCTTGCAGTACTCCACATGTTATGTTCTTAAATCCAGATTTGTGTTGGTCAATTTGTGCCAGCTGCCTTCTCTCACTTAAGTAACTCTTTAACCATTCTTTAGGTTGTCCCCTTATGCCATAGCTTTCAAGTTTGTGTATCAAAATATGGTGGTCAGTTGTGTGGGAACGCTTTTTGAAGGTCAATGAAAATGAAAATTTATGTTTCTCAATACCATTAGTAATTTCTTCAATTAAATCAATTAGTGTGAGTGAAGTGGATCTTTTTTGTCTAAATCCATATTGACCATTGGACAGTAAATTGTTGTTTTCAATAAAGCAGCACAGTCTAGTGTCAAATACATTTTTTTTTTTATATTTTAGAAGACTGTGGCAGAAGGGAAACTGACCGATAATTTGTAAAGTGGTGTTTGTCTTCAGATTAAACAAAAAAACATACTGAGACAAGAGAGATCTGTACATATATATACTGAGACAAGAGAGGTCTGCATGTCTACTGAGAAAAAAAAGGCACTCACACAAGAAATACTCACTTTATTTCGCCCTCACACACACACATTCTCTCTCAGACACGCACACACACACACACAAAAAGCTGGTTGATGCATCACTGTTTAAGAGTTTGAATGTGCAGCTCGCTGTCTGTTCTCTGAGATGAGTCATGTAGTGTGTCTGACAAACGCTTATCGCAGCATCGTCACAGTCCAGCGTCACCTTCACTCGCCCTCAGCAGCATTCTATAATCCCACGATGAACGCTCTGCACAAGACTGAGGCAGATCCAGACTGAAAAAGAAATACCATCGACACCATGTGCGTTCATTGAACTCCTGCTGGATGTAGTGTATCAGGATTTTAGTGTATGATGAAGGGGAAATTTGTCCTCTGTTTGGTCAGTATTGTTGCCAATCAAATATATAATACAGTATGTGGGTGTTGTTGCTTAAACCTGTCTCCACATGGACTAGAGGCCACCCACAGTACATGGACTAGAGGCCACCCGTGGTACTGCAGCCTCATTCCACATGGATTGGAGGCCAGTCTCTTGTTTCCCTCTGTCTCTCTGCTCTGGTGTCTCTGTCCTGTGTTTCCAGGTGTGTTTCCAGGTGTGGTTAGGCAGGTGTAACATGTCTCTGTCCTGTGTTTCCAGGTGAAGTTAGGCAGGTGTAACATGTCTCTGTCCTGTACTTCCAGGTGTGGTTAGGCAGGTGTAACATGTCTCTGTCCTGTACTTCCAGGTGTGGTTAGGCAGGTGTAAGATGTCTCTGTCCTGTGTTTCCAGGTGTGGTGAGGGCCTCCAGCATCTTTCCCATCCTCAGTGCCATCCTGCTGCTGCTGGGAGGAGTGTGTGTCGCCTCCAGTGGATTTTACAAAAGCAAAAGGAACATCGTTCTGGGAGGAGGCATCCTGTTTGTGGCAGCAGGTTAGAGACACAAGACTTTAGTTTGTGAGATTTAGATACTGATCTAGATCCCGGACAGAAGCATAATTAAAGTAAATTGAATAATATGAGACAGTGTCTGAGGTGGACCTCCACATTAAATTATAACTTCATTTACTATTTAGCCCCGTTTCCACCAGCTCTACGCTACTCTACTCTACACTATAAATGTAAAAAGTCAATTTTGTCTTGCTATGTTTCAGTCTTAGAAAGCAGAATGAGCTTTCTTTACTTTTTTGTCTATAAGCCTTCTACTCTACTCTGCTGTACTCTAAGTGGGAGTACGTCCAGCTGTTCTGTTTCCATTCCATAACAATCCTGCAGGAACAAACCACTATTCGTGGAAATTCCTTGATAACCATGGCTTCCCGGAGCACTCTGGGCAATCCCTGTCAGTTAGAACACTGTTGTACCAGCTCGGCCTGGAAAGAACCAGGACCAAAAGGAAATAAAGTAGGGCCTGGCACTGGTTACACAGGAGCAGTGGAAACACTCCCAATCACTGTAGAGTAGAGTAGAGGGGAGGAGTAGTAGACAGTAAAGCAAGGTAGTCACCATAGGCCAAAGGTTCCTTGCTTCACGTCCTGTTTGTGCGCTGCAACACTGACACTTCCCTCATGTGGACGACTAAACCTCTGATCTGTTTCCAGGTCTGAGTAACATCATCGGTGTCATAGTTTACATCTCTGCGGCGCTCAGCGACATCTCACCCAAAAAGGACGAGGACAAAAAGTGGCACTACTCGTACGGCTGGTCCTTCTACTTTGGCGGTTTGTCCTTCATCCTCGCCGAGATGGTGGGCGTCCTCGCCGTTAATATCTACATCGAGAAGAACAAAGAACTGCGCTGCCGATCTCGCGCCGACCTGTTCAAGAGCACCACGCACGCCGTCCTGCGCCTGCCGAGCTACCGCTTCCGTCGTCGCTCGCGCTCCAGCTCGCGCTCCACAGACCCACCGCGGTCCCAGGAGAACTCCCCCATCGGAGCCAAGTCCTTCAACCTTCCTCCGTCTGCTCCTCCGTTCTCTGTGGCCACGCTTCCAAACCCACACCACGGCTCAGGCGGCAGCAGCGGCGGCGATATCTCCATGTACACGCTTTCTCGCGACTCTAAACTGGGTGCGCCACCGCTCTACGGCACAGTGGACCGCGCCACGCTCTACCAGCTCCACAACTACTTCCCCAAAGATTCTTCTGGTGGCAGCAGCAGTGGTGGCGGAGGAGGAGGTGGCATCAACAGTGGGACTCTGCCCTCGCATTCCAAGTCCAACCTGGCAACTGCCGCGGCACAGAATGCGGCGCCGTTGAATACATCTACCTCCGCGGCGGCGACGGGGTCCTCCTCCGCGGGGGGAGGGGGGAGCCAGCAAAACCCAGTATCCACAGCAACCATGGAGCGTGACCGCAGCAACGTGGGAACGCTGGACCGCCTCACGGCGAAGAGGGAACGTGACAGCAACTCAGATACGCTGAACAGGAAGACCACGCCAGTGTGAGACAGCACCAGGACCAGAAGAAGGAGTCAAAGATACAGATATTGGCTACAAATTAACACTTAAAGCTGGGGTACCTTTTTTGATAAATAATACACATATACACACATTGTACAAGAAAGAGTCTTGTCAAAGTATTAGTTCAGAACAGATCAGACAAACATGAATTTACGATATTATTAAACAAAGTTATCTTTTGCATACTCATTTGAAGGAGCCCTGGGAATCACTATTTGAGTTTTTGGGCTGAGAGATGATTGGTTGAGTGAGGGCGGTCTTCTCTTTCACACTATTCCGTTCTAAAACCTAATTGGCTACTCTACTCTACTCTACTCTCTCCTGATTGGGAGTGTTTCCTCTGGTCCTGTGTGACCAGTACCAGGTCTTTCTTTAGTCCCTCTATGCTCTGGTTCTATCCAGGCCGAGTTGGCACTAAAGTGTTCCAACTGATTGATTGACAATAGAGCAGAGCAGAGTAGGGCTGGTGGAAACAGGGCTTTTGGTACCCCAGCTTTAATGTGACACAAAGACAATAGAATGATAAAAATGTAATATTTTATAACAGACCGTTATTCGTGACCATCGACTGTAAAAAGCAGTGAACGAGGTTTGAACAGAAATCTAAATCTTTTTTTCAGTTAAACATTAACGTGTTTTTTTTTTCTGAGCCGCGACAGATTGAAGCTTGACTGTTGTTAAAAGCTGTTTCTGGAGACTGACTTATGCTTTTCTAATCTGATGTAAGGGAATCATGTGGAAGACGCTGTGACTGCGACTGACCTGGAGTCTGTGGACCAAACAGTGCATATGACAGGATATATAATCTGGTGTTAACACACAGTCCTTTGCTGGTTCTGACAGCTCTGGGACAGTCCACAGAGGGCATTCCACAAAGGGCTGTTACCACGGGCAACAAGGGCGAGGCAGTTTACACTCAGGGGGCGGAGCTACACTTCGATTGACACATGTTTCCGAAATAGTGAATATATAGAAATAGAGTTTAGAGACAGATAGTTGTTCAGATTATAACTTTATATTGGACTCAATGTACGGGGGGAGGTTTTACAAGTTAGCGCTAACATAACTAGTAAATAACTAGTATAAAATTAGTACATAACTAGTGTATAACTTGTATAAAATATTTCAACTAGAATAACAAATACACTGCAAAAAGGACCATCTTCAAACCATTGAATGTTGGTTTGTCTTTGTCTGAGGAGTTTGTGATAATATAGGTTCCACAGGAATACAGTAAAACTACTACCACTACGACTACTACAACTACTACTACTATGATGACAACTATTACAAGTGATGTTGGGAGTTACGCATTACAAAAGTCAAGTATTTACTGTAATGTATTGCTGTAACAGTTAAATGCAAAAACCAAAAGCTTGTATCAACCTATAATGCTACAAACTGAATGTAGCATTATAAGCTACATTTAGTTTGTATTTATATATTTGGAGAAAGTCAATTCAAAGTAATGCAGTTGAAGTGTAATGCTTTACAATTCAGAGACAGCAACATTAGTAATCTATTAGTAATTAGTAGTAAATTATAAGTAACATAAGTTATTAGGTTATGGAAGTCACTTGTCCAACACTGGCTACGACCACTACGACTGCTACTTTTACTACTACTCCTTCCCAGACTAAGATGAGCCCTCAGACTCCCTGCTTTGATGTCCTTCCTGCAGTGATACTAAAGCACATGTCTGTGAGAGTCTGTGAGAGTCTTTGAGAGTCTGTGTGAGTCTGTGAGAGTCTGTGAGTCTGTGAGAGTCAGTGAGAGTCTGTGTGAGACAGTGAGAGTCTGTGTGAGACAGTGAGAGTCTGTGTGAGACAGTGAGAGTCTGTGTGAGTCTGTGTGAGTCTGTGTGAGTCTGTGTGAGTCTGTGTGAGTCTGTGAGAGTCTGTGAGTCTGTGAGAGTCTGTGAGAGTCTGTGAGTCTGTGAGAGTCTGTGTGAGTCTATGAGAGTCAGTGAGAGTCTGTGTGAGACAGTGAGAGTCTGTGAGAGACAGTGAGAGTCTGTGTGAGACAGTGAGAGTCTGTGAGAGTCAGTGAGAGTCAGTGAGAGTCTGTGTGAGACAGTGTGAGTCTGTGTGAGACAGTGAGAGTCTGTGTGAGACAGTGAGAGTCTGTGTGAGACAGTGAGAGTCTGTGTGAGACAGTGAGAGTCAGTGAGAGTCTGTGTGAGTCTGTGAGAGTCTGTGAGAGTCTGTGAGAGTCTGTGAGTCTGTGAGAGTCAGTGAGAGTCTGTGTGAGTCTGTGTGAGACAGTGAGAGTCTGTGTGAGACAGTGAGAGTCTGTGAGAGTCTGTGTGAGTCTGTGTGAGACAGTGAGAGTCTGTGTGAGACAGTGAGAGTCTGTGAGAGTCTGTGTGAGTCTGTGAGAGTCTGTGAGTCTGTGAGAGTCTTTGAGAGTCTGTGTGAGTCTGTGAGAGTCTGTGAGTCTGTGAGAGTCACTGAGAGTCTGTGTGAGACAGTGAGAGTCTGTGTGAGACAGTGAGAGTCTGTGTGAGACAGTGAGAGTCTGTGTGAGTCTGTGTGAGACAGTGAGAGTCTGTGAGAGTATGTGTGAGACAGTGTGAGTCTGTGTGAGACAGTGAGAGTCTGTGGGTTGAGATTGTAAATCTGTGTCATATTATTATTCTGATCATGTCGCTGTTGTTTCTACAGTTCGTAAAATGCAGGGTATTTCTACATTTTTCTACCTTTGCGTTGGTTGCTTTGGATCTCAGTGTGGTCTCAGCATGTGCACTGGGGTCAGGTTGTGTGTCTGCTTTATGGTTTTATTTCTGTGTGGACTCTGTGTGGGACTGTGATGCCTTGCTCAAAGTGTCCATTCCCCTGTTGGCGGTTGCTACAGCCATATTTTTAACACACAACCAGCAACCTTCACCCTGTTCTTTAAAGTTGGTGTTTGAATGTTTCGTCTGATTTCACACCATAGGCTGTATATAAGTGGACTGGCCGAGTGTGACATCATCACAGTGCTCGCTTTAAAGCAGAAGAGGCAGATGTTAAAGTAAGCTAGCTGGTGCCAATGAAGCGAAGTTAGCTTTGTCACTAATAAGTCAATCCTTATATGGATCATGCCTGGATTTACAAAGGCTATATCACAATAGAAACACCAGGATAATAGAGCGAGACTAGAGTGAGGCCAGAGAGAGTCCAGAGGGAGACCAGAGAGAGATTTGCGAGAGTCCTTAGCACATAACAGTCTAAAGGAGCCAGAGCGAGTTGAACATGAACTTTGTTTATGAGCACTTCTCTATTGGGTTTCATTGAGCTAGTGAACTAGCATTTATTTACAGTCTATGGTTCATACAATATACTGTTTTGACTTGCAACAACATGGATGGTCTGAGTTTGACTCGAGCCGAATTTTTTTTCTTTTTATTTAAGATTTATGAACGTTTCAATTTCTATATTGGGAACACTAAAGAGTTATTGTGATGGGTCCCTTCCAAAGCACAAACACCATGGTCTCTTCTCTGTCTCTGGTCTCTCTCCCTGGTCTCTTTGCTGGTCTGTCTCTATTCTCTCTCTCTGGTGTCCCTTTGGTCTCTCTCCCTCTTTAGTCTCTCTTACTAGTCTCAATCTCTCTCTGGTCTCCCACGTCTCTCTAGTCTTTCTCTATTTAGACCATAATTAAAGCCACACATTGTAGTAGTACTGATGACATTTACGAGTGTTTAGGACCAAAAGTAAAGTTACCAGTGGGGTTAGCGTTGGAAATGTAAGCCAGTCCCCTACAGCACTGCCTCAAACACACAGATGACAGAAAGAAGAGAGAGAGCTGACGTCGGCCAAAGTACTCACTCGAAGCTCAGAGGAAGCTCGAAAAGGCTGGCTTGTACTCTGCTAATTCTGCAACCTTTATCATTTTACCAATCAGAACCCTATGCAGGTATGATCTTCCTGGAGCCTTGTTGAAAGAGTTTTTCTTTAGTACAGCAGTCAGGAAAGCTCAACAACTGCACATGGTCTCTGGTCTCTCACTGGTGTCTCGGGTCTCTCTGGTCTCTCTCTGGTCCGTCTCTGGTCTTCCATGTTGTTGCAGGTTTTCTCTCACAGCACCTTACTTCTCTGGCACACTGGTCTGTTTGCACTCCCCCATGTTGTGATGTCACTGGTTGTGTGTTTGATGTATTCTTCTCCATGACCAACGTAGCCTAAAATACAGTGTTTTCTAATGTAGTGTGTAAATGTAGGCAATAGATTTATATTCTACTGTTTCTTTTGGTGGTGATCTGTAATATTATCGTCCTATTGTTCCTAAAGCGACATAGACCCAACTGTGAAGAGGTCTGTGGGTTCTCCTGGTCTACTCATCAAACATTATTATTATGGGGAGGTTCTGAGAAGGTCTCACTCTCTCTCTCTCTGGTCTCTCTCTGGTCTCTCTCTGGTCTCCCTCTCTGGTCTCTCTCTGGTCATCCTCTATGGTCTCAGACCGGGAGCAGACTGAGATGGAGTGAGTGACATATAAAGGACAGAAAAAGGGAAGCAATACATGGTTCTGATTCTGGAGAAAAAACACAAAGTATTCCTATAAATATAAATATATAAATATATTCAATAAAGTTGTATAAGAACTTTTGTCTTGTGTCTTTTTTGTGGGTTACGGTTACTGCAACTATTTTGTATTTATTTGACTGGGACAGTACATCCATCCATTGTCTTTCCCTTAATCTATTTCTGGGTCGGGCGGGTTTTCAGGCAAAGTGGGGTTAAGTGTCTTGCCCAAGGACACAACAACAGCAGACCTCAGTGGGAGTCATGAAGTAGGTCTCATGGTGGGCTCAAACCCCCAACCTTCAGGCCCAAAGGCAACTGAGCCACTGTCGCCCCCATGAAGTGAGTTGTCCCGTGAAGCAGTTCCCGGCGGGAAAGAAGTCCCTGGCCCTAAACCCGGACGGCAGCATCAAGAGCCGCCGGAGCGCGGCGTCTCTCACAGTCTGCAGCTGCGAGTTTGAGCCCACGAATCAGCACACG